GCTCCTGATCGTGAGTTGGGGTCGTGTGGTGCAGGCTCCTGATCGTGAGTTGGGGTCGTGTGGTGAAGGCTCCTGATCGTGAGTTGGGGTGTTGTGGTGCAGGCTCTGTCTCTTATACACATCTCCGCATCTCCGGCGGCAGCGGAGGTGGTGACGTCAGCACGAGCGCCAGCACAGCTGCGGGCGTCAGCTCAGATCTCCTCAAGAATCCTTCCAAGGTCGCCGTCCTCAGGGTCAGTATCCTGGTATCCTGGCACCAGGGTCAGTATCCTGGCACCAGGGTCAGTATCCTGACACCAGGGTCAGTATCCTGGCACCAGGATCAGTATCATGGCACCAAGGCCAGTATCCTGGCACCAGGTCAGTATCCTGGTATCCTGGCACCAGGTCAGGTCAGTATCCTGGCACCTGGGTCAGTATCCTGGTACCAGGGTCAGTATCCTGACACCAGGGTCTGTATCCTGGTACCAGGGTCAGTATCCTGGCACCAGGGTCAGTATCCTGGCACCAGGGTCAGTATCCTGGCAGTAGGGTTAGTATCCTGGCACCAGGGTCAGTATCCTGACACCAGGGTCAGTATCCTTGCACCAGGGTCAGTATCCTGGCAGTAGGGTTAGTATCCTGGCACCAGGTCAGTATCCTGGTATCCTGGCACCAGGGTCAGTATCCTGGTATCCTGGCACCAGGTCAGTATTCTGACTCTCCCCCACAGGAGGGGCAGGGTATGGACAAGTCAGAGCAGTAACCTCTCTCTCCCCCGCAGGAGGGGCAGGGTCTGGGCAAGTCAGAGCAGGGCATCGTGCGCGCCCTCGAGGTCGAGAAGACGAGCAAGCGCGGGGGGCGCATCGTCGCTGAGGAGGGGGGGCCTCCTCCCCCCTCACCCCCACACTCTGACGGTCTCCCCATCATGGGGGCCCCTGAAAATGAAAAATAACAATATAAATATTATACGGATATTTTGTTAGCTTATATAATAAAAATATTTATATTGTGATATTTATCTATATTATATTATTTACTATTTCCCCGGCAGCCGTGATTGACCTGAACGGGCGGTTTTTCGGCGGCCGACAGGTGGCCGCGGGTTTCTACGACCACGACAACTTCAAGGCCTTCAAGCTCAACGAGCCCATCACTTAACCCCGCTTAACCCTGCTCAACCCCTTTACAATTACTTCCTCCTAAACTCCATCCATCATAATTCCCCAAAACCCCACCCCCTCACAGCCCCAGCATCCCTCGCTGTATTAAACGTACGTCCCCGTGTCGCCTCTTTTACTTTCATTCCTTTATGCTCACCCGACCATCACATCACCGTACCATCGTCATGTGATGAATACCTTAAGAATAATAACAATAATAGTAATAATTATAATAATAAAAATGGCAGCGCAGCCGTGCACCAACAATCCAGAACACCCATCTGCCTAGAAAGGAATTCGGAACATGTTTCCGTAAGGTCGCCGTCACACGAAACTGTTTTATTCAGAAGACGTTATTTTTTGTTCTTTGCTGGTGGCAACATCCGTCTAGCGCTATTGTGAGAGATATTCACCTAGTGTATCTAGTTGAATATCTAGCCCCGACGTAACATGGCAGTAAGCTCTATAGTAGTGCATCTGTGTTTCGTAGCTTGTCCATTTCTAGATACCGTCATGTTCACGAATAGTGAAATGTATGCGAATTTAAGCGATTTTGGTATTGACTTCTATATTTGGTTGCTTGCAGTTTTAACACATTCAGGCTCGCTGACGGCTATAGCCGTTCGTGCTAATTGGAGCAACATGAAAAACTAAGGCGAGCATGAATGTGTTAATTAACAATACATGACCCAAGTATTAGCGGCGGTTACTCCACCTGCGGGAGAAGGGCTATCTTCTTAATTAAGAGAAGGCGGCACTGGCGCGGGTAGAGCCTGTCGTCAAAAACCTCGCATCATAAGTTGGAAACTTATCATTATTACATCAGCAAATACGAGAGTGGATAGCCTAGACTCCTAGAGAGTTTTTAATCGAATAGAAACTTCATTATGTCAATTATGAAGTTATGATTAATTCGATATCATTCATAACTTCGAAGTCTACTCAGCCGACCACGTACTGCAATGATGGCAAGATAATACGGCCAAATCGGCTCGAAGAAAAAGAAAAAACGGGCACTATTCAGTATTTATTAGCAAAATTTAATTTGCTGCACAAAAATTCAATTATAGAGATTCATTTATTTCTGAATCTCTATAAGAAATCTAACAATAATGTACATTTTATGCGATTAATTAAATTGAAAAATCTCCCGAATCTGCGAATTTAGCCGAAAAAGTCAGATCTGTCAACCCAGTCCTGCGGTCTTGCTAAAACCTGCCTAGCACCAACAGATCACAGACCAAATAAGCGTGAGTACCAACTGGCCTGCGTGCTCGTCCTTAACAAAATCATAAATATTGAAGATTTTTGTATGAAATAAACATAAGCTGTCTTATGTTACGGAACAGGAATGAGCTAAGAGAATCTCGGGTTAGATTTCAGATAGTAAAGTTAGGGTCCAAAATCAATCGTCCGCCTTCGAGCGGCTGTTCGACGGCTGGCTAATTTATTGCAGCGGATGAATACTGGCGGCTGGTGGGTGTGGAGAATGAATGCTGGAACGCTCATACGAATGCTGGAACGCTCCCACGAACGCAGGATTACTCCTACGAACGCTGGATCACTCCGACGAATGCTGGAACTCTCCTACACGCTTTGTCTCATAAATTTAAAATCATTTCTTGTGTTGCCGGACGATGCTGGGCCATACCATTCCCGTCTTCTTTGCTGGCGGCCGGTTTGCTTAATTCGAAGTCCATGTTTAGGCTTGTGTGGCGTGCTGTATGTAACTTGATAGCCTAGGGACCTGTTGGATGCAATTAGAATATTTGGAATTATTGTTCTGGATTCCTTTTGAAGCGAAGAAAATGAAGAAAGTACTAAGAATCTTGTTCTAATACACGTAGCGGCCTAAGTACACGTAGCGGCCTAAGTACACGTTGCGGCCTAAGTACACATAGCGACCTAAGTACACGTAGCGGCCGAAGTACACGTAGCGGCCTAAGTACACGTAGCGGTCAAAGCCTCTTACCACACACAAGATTGCTCCAAGATTTCTTCGCTCTCAAGAGATTGCCGGGATTCCCGGTGGCATTAGGGTTATTATCTTGCATATAAATCGGGAGATTGTCGGCTTCGTGGTGATTGTCGGATGCCTGTATTAAAGGATCGTTAAAGGTCCAGCAAGAATCAAGTGAGGGCCCAGTAAGGGTTCAGTAAGGGTCCAGTAAGGGTCCAGTAGGGGTCCAGTAAGGGTCCAGTGAGGGTCCAGTGATGGTCCAGTAAGGGTCCAGTGAGGGTCCAGTGATGGTCCAGTAAGGGTCCAGTAAGGGTCCAGTGAGGGTCCAGTAAGGGTCAAGTAAAAGTCCAGTGATGGTCCAGTAAGGGTCCAGTAAGGGTCCAGTGAGGGTCCAGTGATGGTCCAGTAAGGGTCCAGTAAGGGTCCAGTGAGGGTCCAGTAAGGGTCTAGTAAGGGTCCAGTAAGAGTCCAGTAAGGGTCCAGTGAGTGTCCAGTAAGGGTCCAGTAAGGATCCAGTGAGGATCCAGTGAGGGTCCAGTAAGGGTCAAGTAAAGGTCCAGTGAGGGTCCAGTAAGGGTCTAGTAAGGGTCCAGTAAGGGTCCAGTAAGGGTCCAGTAAGGGTCCAGTAAGGGTCCAGTAAGGGTCCAGTGAGGGTCCAGTAAGGGTCCAGTGAGGGTCCAGTAAGGGTC